TTGTATTGTAAATCACTCATTAAGAAACTAGATACAGAAATGTATATTATTAAAATATTTCAAATATTTCCCGGTTCAATAGATTTAAATACGAAACTGGTCCTTGATTGCAAGTTTATAATGGTCCATATATTTTTATACAATGGTCTTAGAAGGGCTTTCGATATCAGGCCGAGACTGAGGTGTTTAAGTTTCGTAATAATAGGTTGTAGAATGATTTTATATTCTGGTCAAATATTTATTTTTATTTAGTAGGACCTTTTATAGGTTTACAAAATAGAGCCACTTTTGGGGTGTCTAAATGATTTAATATTGACTCTTTATATGCAATGAAGAATAATGGTACAGCAAATACTTACTCAAGTGTGGTAAATTAATACTTCTTCCTTTTCTCTTTGAAGTTCGTTAAAGTAAATGGGATAATTTCTTGGAAAAGAACAGGTCAACCGGCATTTCACAAAAGTGGTAAATTTTCGTTTCGAAAAAAAATCTCCTCCTTGGTAATTCTAACAAATCCTGTCAACTCGTGAATAAATTGTCTGTAATTATGAAATTGCAATCAGAAAGTGAAAAAAATGGAAAAAATAAAAAAATAAAAAACAAAGATGTGCCTCACCTTTCCACAGTTTATGTATTCCACAGCAGCTTCTCGGGAGAAATAATAAGTGTAAACTTCAATTTCACATAATGCACCAAAATTTGGCTCTGCAAAGAATATTTAAATTGACAAATAAAGAACAAGGATATTAATTGTTAATTATACGTTGAAAATTCAGGGTAGCTGCAAACAATTAAGAAACAAAAAAAAAATCCATTTTTTGAAAAGGATCATGCATTTCAATTCTGTCTTATTCTTAATCATAAAATACAATATGCCTTTCATATTTCGGAAACCTTTGTTATGTCGAATACTTTTTGAAGTCAAAAATTAATCTTTTCAAAAAAATCACAGCGTACCACCACTCAACAGTACTGCGTCCCCCTGTGGCAGAATTTTTCGTGTTTTCTGCGAGATCCTCTTTAATATTAATGTCTTTCTGAAAGATAATTTTAACAATAACAAATATACATGTTACTAATTTAAAGTAACAGAAGAGTCAAGTTCAAAAAGAAAAAAAAAACTTTTGGGATCAAAAAAAGTAATTATTTTTAATTGAATATGTAATACTTTTTATTCTAATAATATGGGCAATATTCTCATATATTGTAGGAGGGAAAACACAATTATTGTTTCCTTTTTCGCATTTTGCAAAATATTATCACATTAAAAAAAATCTTGAAATCCGTAGCATTAAATGCCGAAAAAAAAAACTACAAAAAACAAGCGAATCAAGCAGACTCTTCAAAAAGGGGTAACTAAATGCTTGTTTTCGTTTCGAGATTCAGTTGTAATCAATAATATCGTATTAAAATTATCGGATTTTAAAAGCTGTGAGGAAATCAATAGTAATAACTGCATAAAAAATAGAATAAAAATTTCTACAGAAAAGAAAACCTAATTTTTTTACGTCCCGAAGGAAGAATCTTTCTTCAAGAACGTTCTGCAACAATGTCGCAACGATTCTGCCGCGGAGGACTCTGATAGTTTATTAAGACTACAAAGGAAAATATTATAAAAACAGTGTGTATGAGTTGAAATTAAAAATATTTCAAATATATCCAATTTCATTTAAAATGTATCCAATATATTTCATTTAAAATATATCCAATATTAATTGAAATGATTTATTAAAAAAATATGCAGGTGACATATTTTAATCATTTTGCAAATAAACTATTAAAATCAACATCACCAGGTCTGTTTCATAACATACTAGTGGATTCTAGGCACAGTGAATAATTTTAAGAACTTTCACAGTCAATAAAGGGAAAAACTATTGCACTTATTAATAAAGTTAAAATGACTGCAATATTATCTATTCATGATTGATATAAATAATAAACTTGAATATTAATCTTGAATATTATCTTACTTTTAAATAGTGATAGATATTGAATTTAAGAGTTCTGAATGGATTTTTCACTTTTAAAAAATGCAAATTATTTATTGACTTTAAAATAAAAAATATCTTAAAACAATAAAGATTCAAAATATTCTAAAAATGCATATAGCTTCAAATTGATCACTAGTTTTAGGGATTTTTTTAAAAGTTCATTGAACTAGTTAGTAAACTTGAATAAACCAGAAAAAGGAAAAATTAGGAAAATCTAACAATTTATTAGGGACTTCACTTAAAATTAGTTGAAAAAATTTAGAAATGTGAGCAGCTTCTGTTAGAAAATAAATAATTGTGAAAAAAATTGCTCAATAAATAACAATAAAAGTACTGAAATCAATTATATTATAATCATACTTTTAATTGCATCTTTTTTTCAACATTTGGAAAAGAATCTAATGACTGGCATATCAATAATATTCTTTCATTAAAAAAGCAATGTCTATTAATATGATAAAAAAAAATCATTTTGCACTATGGGTGTAATTTTATTTGGAAGCATGGAGGAAAGAAATCAACTAATACTTCAACTGAGTTTATTCAGTTATGCTTAATATGTAGGCTTTATATGAACACGCACAAATGACTAACAGATAATTTTTTTGATTTTTATTAAAATTTAACAAAAGGTACTTGTTTTTACAAAATTCAGAAAATCAATAAAAATAATTTATAAAGAGTTTTCGAAATCAAACTTTAATATTGTAATAAAGTGAAACAATAAAGTGTTTTACAAAAAGGAACATGACAGTGTAATTATAATAAAAAACAAGTAATTTCATCTCATTTCATAATGATACTAAAATTTTGACTTTCATTCTAGTAAATTTATAATTACCTTTCTCCTTCAGACTTTCAAGGGATTCTTCGAGGACGATCTCGCTTTGTACCTCCTCACTTTCTGCTGTCCTTAAAATAAAACATTGTTTAGCTATAAGTAATTGCATTAAAAAAAAACTTTAAACAATATATAAATAACTATACCAGAAATTTTATGCAGTAAAATTTGATAATATATTATTTCATCGATTTTATTAATTAATTTCATAAATCATCCATTTTTTTACCACATTTATTTTACCCATTAAATATCCCCACATAAAAACAACGAACATTTTTTTTAATGATTTGAGGTTCAAAATATGTCTATGCATACTTAATATCTTCTAAAAAAAAATAAAGATTTACTAAGTATCAAATTAAAAGTTAAACAAAAAAACTTTTGACTCCTTTCTAAAAAAAAAAATTGCATACACGAATTACAATACAACAAAAAGTAAATTATTTAAAAAAGCTAGATAAAAGCATTTTTAAATTTTACGAACCAACTTAAGAAAATTTAAAAAAGAAGCTTTGAACAGAAAAATAGGAAATATTTAAAATAAAAACTGGTATTCATGAAATTAAGCTTACCAATTTAATTTTTTTTCCAGGGCAGGTTGTTCTTTGTATAATCGTGTTCCATAAAAGTACCAGTACTTATTGCCATCATTATCACATCCTAATATTTAGGCTCTTAAAATATCCGAATCCCTATTCTGAAAATAATAAGGATCAAACAAATAAATAATGCAAAATCATGTGTTATATTATAATAATTCATTCAGAATAAAATCAAATTTTGAAACAAAATTCCTAAAAAAAATATTTTTTTTAAAAAAAATTTGTAATATTGTTTATTTTTAACTTTGAAAATGAAATTTCTAAAATACACCACTGTTTATTTTTAACTTTGAAAATGAAATTTCTAAAATACACCACTGTTTATTTACTCTTAAAATGTTAGTCATAATTTTTATCAAAACTAAAAGCAAGTAGCTTCTTTGCCGTGTCAAACAAAATTTTCAAATTTTTTTACCAGTCTTCAACTTATGGAGAGTTAGAAAATTTAGTTACATATTTGCGATTTTTGAGATAGATTGTTGTTGCATATATTTTCAAAAAAATTTAAATTTTTAAAAGCAACTATGTTAATGTGGCAGTATATACAAAGAGATTAGAGTAAAACAGCTATAACCTCATTTTTTTTCTTGAGTACTATTATTAAACAAGCAATTTACAACTCAGTTATTTTCACGAAATGGTAGCAAAATGAGCAGAAGCATCTTAATTGTCTACATGAAAATCGTGGTGTTTTTCACCGAAAATGCTCTGCTGGAAAATTTTAAATTTGTGGCTTATACATAACTGTCATCATGGATAGGAAAAATTCCGGTAGATTTTACGAAATATAAATTTCACGATAATTGTTGCATAATGAACTAAATACACATAGGGAGTATTAGGGATTTTTATAGTCATCAGAATAGAGAAACTGAAATATTTTCCACTTATGATTGACATTAAACGTACTTGAAATGTTATCTATTAAGTTTGCTCCTAATTTTGAATATTAATAGGCATATAATATATCAAAGATATTCAAAAGATTTTTTGTAATTTAAAAAGAGTTCTGACCTACACCTACCATTATTTTATGCAAGCGATTGGAGACCTACACCTCGGGAATCATTGGAAATTACCAATGCGGATTCCAGAAAGGAAAAACAACAACTGACCAATTGCATACTATCAGGCAGATCTTGGAGAAAACCAAAGAGTATAACACTGACACATACCACTTATTTATTGACTTTAAAGCTGCCTACGACAGCACCAACCGAAGAAAACTACTTGAGGCTATGTTGGAGTTTAACATCCCAAAGAAGCTAATCAGCCTCACAAGAATGACACTCAAAAGAGTTTCGTGCAGAATAAAAATCTCGTCAAGTCTCTCTGAACCATTCTTCACCGAAAAAGGCCTGAGACAGGATGATTCCCTTTCTATTTAACATAGCTTTGGAAAAGGCCATTAGAGACTCTGGTATCAACACAAATGGAACAATCTTACAAAGAACTGTCCAACTACTCGCTTTTGCTGATGATATCGACATAGTTGGAAGAACAAAACGCTCAGTCATTGACGCTTTTGTAGCGCTTGAGATTGCGGCGAAGGAGATGGGACTACTTATAAATGCAGACAAAACCAAGTTTTTGATCGCAACAAATAAAACTCCTGATCGATCTCCTCTGGAGATAATGACTTACTCTTTTGAAACTGTTAACCAGTTCAAGTACTTAGGAACCTTGATCTCTAGCCACAACAACCTGAAAATCGAAATAAATAACAGAATTTCCATGGCTAACAGAAGTTTCTACGGCCTCAGAAACCAACTGAAATCCAAGTTCATCAGTGTGAAGACAAAGTTAAACATCTACAAAACTTTAATCAGGCCTATAGCTACGTATGGAAGTGAGTGCTGGACCCTAAGCAAAATAGAGGAGGAAAAACTGCTAATTTTTGAAAGAAAAATTTTGAGGAAAATCTTTGGATCTCTTCAAGAGAATAACGTATGGAGAATTCTTTACAACCACGAAATTTACAAAAAATATGACAAATTCGGTGGGACCGACATTGTGAGAACTATTAAAGCATCACGCATTAGGTGGCTGGGCCACCTCTTCAGAAATTCTGATGCCGTCCCTGCCAAAAAAGTGACTTTTTCCACAATTGAAGGGACGAGACGTAGGGGACGACCACCTACAAGATGGATAGACGACGTTGAAAAGGACCTCAAACTATTGGGAGTCAACCGATGGCGGGCCGCCGCACCGGACAGGACCAGATGGAGGAAAATCTGCGAGTCAGCCTTGGCCTGTGAAAGGCTGTTGCGCTTATGAAGAAGAAGAAGAAAAAAAATAAACTGAACATTTTTGGACAAAAGAAGTTTTGAACTGATTTCTATAAATGAGGTTCACTTCATTATGTATTAGTAATACTTATTTTAATATTTAAACAATCAAGCAATAATCTGTTCGAAAATTCTATTTCAGTAGGGATTTTTTAGGAAATTTACTCAATTTTAGGGAATTTTCTAAAATGTCCAAAAACCAGGATTTTAACAATTTTATTTAAGCCAGTAGACCAGGAGAAACTACTAAAATCCAGTATCTACTGAAATTCCAGTAGAGTTTGCAGTTATGATTATATTAGCCCTGCATAAGCACTCATCCAGAGTGATTGGTTTCTTTTCAGGACTTTTAACCCTTTAACTATAAACCTCAACTCAACTTATAACAATATCGGACTTCGTCCCTGAACAATTTGGTTTATTCCAACACATGTGGATAAGCACTATTCTGTCATGGAGATGTTTTAACATTCCTTCATTATAAATCTACAATTCAAAGTTATCTTACTGCAATGCATGGTTAGATAGAAGATTTATCTATCAATCTATACAAACTAATCACTAAAAGATATAACTAGTTCGTACGCATTTACTGTGGTACAACACACTTGCATACAACTATTTGAATTTTTGTTAACAAAAAAAAGTTAATAAGGTGAGTTTAAATGAAAAATTACAATACAGAAAGTGTGCAACTTTCACAATTATTATGAAATATGATAATTTGTGGCGATAACGCAAACCAAAACATGAAACTGAAAATCAGTCATCTGAAACATCATACCATTCCATCTTGTTGAACTGGGGGGCATAATATTATATGTGATGTTCCAAGTCAAATTTGGTTCCATACATATTTTAATAAAACCATAATCTATCACAAAAATTAAATTTCAATAGAATTTCAATTCAATGTATAAGCATAATGTCTTAAAATTCTAACAAGTTTAACTGAAACTCAACTTCTACGAAACTAACACGATTAAACTTTATAGAAAATAACATAGCAACAGAACGAACATAAAAAATGCAGAGTTGGAATCAAGACAAAAAATTTAAATTAATTTTGTACCTTCATGGCTTCTGCAGCATTATTTCCATCCTTCAGACTTTCAAGGGATTCTTCGAGGACGATCTCGCTTTGTACCTCCTCACTTTCTGCTGTCCTTAAAATNAAAACTATTTTCTTGCAAACTGAAATGCTCCAAAAAACTATTTTCTTCCTTCCTCCTGATTTTTTTTCTGAACTCTCTTTTCTAAAAATAAAAATATATGTATACAATGTATGTATATTCGCATAAATTACATGCATTTTATTTAGAGCTGCTTCAACCAATCTGAGGTATTTCAATAAAATCTTCAAAAAAGTTAAAACTTTATTTTTATGCATTGCAGAACCTAATTCAATAGGAATGAAATATTGTAAAAATTTTTTAAACCATTGGGATTCATTAACTCATTATTTATGGAAAAAATTCCCTTAATATCCAAAGGAATCATCGCAATAGTCATTGCAAATACCAATGAAATTTTATCCATTTAAACCATTAAAAACTAAAAATCACATGCATCAATACAAAATTCATTATTCTTCCTAATTACAATATGAAATCATTATCTTGCCAGCTGTTTAGAAAATGGGAAAAAATGCGAGAAAGCTTCACCACAATATGCCATTTATCTTACAACAAGGAAAAACTGGTTTTGCAATGCAAGAAGAATGCAGGTCAAGATACGATTTTTTACATGCAGAACCATCAGTGAGTTATACTATATTACGATATACCCACTCATTAATATGCTTACAAACCAAACTCTTGAGTTAACAGAATTCAACACTTTTAAGAATTTTTAACAAAAGACTGTTTATTGTAAACCAACCCTTTGAAATAATTACTTTTAAGAGCTTTCGAACACAAAATAAATCAAAATTTTCATTAAAATTGCATCTTAAAAAATTTTAAAAATATTACAAATGATAAATTTTAATAAAACTTCCCTATAGGGAATTAAGGGACCACTCCCAAAAAATAAGACGTAATCGCTACAATGTTTTTTTAAATTGATTCTTATTTTTCGAATATAATCAATTATAAGCTTATTGCTGTGTTCATGAATTTTAATTAGTAAGATTGCATTAATACTTCCAGTACTTTTAAAATGTCGTTTTAAAAATCTTATATTTCATTTGGATTTTTCAAAACGTAAGGAAAGAAAGTGGAATCTTTGCACATGCATCATCTGTAAAGAATACTTATTTAATGTGGATTATTATTTTTTTCAATAAACATGATAGTTAGGAATATGCTATTTATTCCTCTTAAAAACTACATTTCATTGCAAATATATTAAATACAAAAAAAATTGAAATAAATATTTATTTATTTTAACCTCCTTTTCAGTTGTTAATACATAATTCTATATTTAATAATTTTTACGTATTTGCATTTACAATACATTAAATCAGTTTTTTAATGCAGTATTAGTTTCAATTTAAAATTGCTATGATTTATTTATAACAACATTTAATCTACAATTACATTTTTAAAATTTAACTACTTACAAATTGAAAGTTTTCAATTTTCAAAAAAAATAATTTTAAAAAAAAATTATTTATTTTATTACCAAAAAAAAAGATGTCGAACCTTGATTTCAAGAAAAAGGCTAGCATAGTTTAGGGTAATTCTTAGGAATATTTAATCAATTTCATTCAATTTTCGTATTTAGGTATTATATTCTTTAAAATGATGTAAAAATTTGCATATTGTTGACTTTTGACAATTTTTAAATAAAACAATGAAAATATATATTTATTAAAAATTTTCTTTTGTATGGAATTATCAATGGATAAATTAATTTAATAATTGAAAAAAATTTTTTTTTCATTTCTTTAAGTTCTCGTGATATTGCGAATTAAGAAGTAAGTATAATTGGCATTAAAAGAACGCTATATAGCATTGGAGAAACTTTTCATCATAAATTCTCATTGATTAATCATGACTAATTTAAAATTTAATGGGCAGAAAAAGTGAATTCAGACTAATCTGGAGTAAGACATGAAGCTTCGAATACTGAAAAGAAATTCTTAAAATATCAGAGTNATTTTAAGTGTGCAATTAACAGTTTACAATTGTTTATTAAACAGTTTACAATCTAGTTCCGCTTGATTTAGCGACAAATTTCGTTCTTTTGCATATTATAAAATGATTGGTTCTTAGTTTATTTTTATAAATATCACATATGAAAAAGAATCTCTAAAAATAAGAACACAATTATTAACTTTTGCCATTTTATATCCATCACTAGACACACATATCAAAATATAAGAAATAAATTTTTAAGACAATCATAGAAAATAAAAAAAAATATTTTAAGTTTTAGCAGTAAAATTTCAGTTCGAAATGAAATCGGATGAATTTTTTATTGGATATTTCTTTAAAAAATTATAATCTACATGAAAATATTGATTCCATAACTTAAATTATAGATAGCACTAACTAATAAATATATTTATTTTACATTTAGAGTTTAACCTTACAGCGGAAAAATGATGTGTGATCTGTAAAGGAAAAGTTATCGTTCTTTTCTGTACTCATATTTGAATTCTATAAGAAACTGAATGAAATAGAACATACCATAACATGACTACCAATCATCATCTTCTTACGTCAGACACATGATTACGTCAGACCATCGTTGGCAATCCAAAAAGCAGCCTGGATTCCAAAAAGCAATCAAATCAACTGCATAAAATTTTTTGATAAATGAAATGTTTAAACTTGAACAAAATGAACTGAACAGGGGCATCAAATAACTTTCAGAACATTTTTTCAGTAAAATTTAACAATAATTAAAGAACTGGAACAGTAGAACTGGAACTCTTCCAAAACCGATCTGAAAAACAAAAGATACAGACATTTTTATTTTGTAACTCAATTACTTCTATTTTACAGGTAACTGCATAAAGATTTATTCGATAAACCTAACACAGAAAATAAAAGCAAAAGCAGGATAAAAGAAACTTAACTCACCAGAAGCACTAGCACATTCCTTTATAACAAACTTTAACTTTCTTTTTATCTCGCAGTCTCATTTTGG